AAAAAACGAGTATGTTGGAATGCCTGCGGGGTGTCAAAGTCCCATCCGGTTACTGTGCGAACATTAAGAGACTAGTTAGCATGAAAGAAAAGAGGTTGGTTGGAATGAAGTCACATGACTGCCATGTTCTTATGACGCAGCTGCTACCAGTCGCAATCAGGGGTATCCTTCTAGAAAAGGTTCGAGACCCAATCATCAAGTTGTGCCAGTTCTTCAAAGCGATAAACCAAAAGGTTATCGATCCGGCTTCATTGGGCAAGCTTCAGGAGGACGCGATTCTCAACCTTTGCCAGCTGGAGATATTGTTCCCCCTCTCTTTCTTCAATATCATGGTGCATCTGATTGTTCATCTTGTGGAACAAGTAAAGATCATAGCTCCAGCATATCTGCATAGCATGTGGGCTTTCGAGAGGTTTATGGGCATCATAAAGAAATATGTCAGGAATAGATCGAGACCCAAAGGCAGCATCGTCGAGGGTTATGCAACAGAGGAGGTGGTCGAATTCTGTATAGATTACATGGATCTACAACCTATCGGTGTTCCTGTGTCCCGTCACGAGGGCAGGATGCTTGGAAAGGGAACATTAGGTCACAGGAGAATTTTTGCCCCCAATCGACAAACCATAAGACAAGCCCATTTTGCAGTGTTACGACAGTCAGCTTTGGTGGCTCCGTACGTGGACATGCACTTGGATGTACTCCTTAGAGACAATCCCAGGAAAGGAGCAGCATGGCTCGCGAAGATGCATAAACATCAATTTGGGAAATGGTTGATGGAGTACCTGACAACTGCAGACATCGATGGTGCCCTTTTTTCTTTATCTCGGGGGCCATCCAACACAATCCACATGTACCAGGGCTATGATATGAACGGGTATACCTTTTACACCAAGGCCCAGGACAACAAGAGTACAAATCAAAACAGTGGCGTGCGCATCGACACCTACGATGACGGTGGCAACAAGCAGACTTATTACGGTTTCATACAGTCAATCTGGGAGTTAGATTATGGAGCCCTCAAAGTCCCTCTATTCCAATGCAAATGGGTCAAAATTCCAAGGGGTTTGAAGATTGACAAGCATGGAACGATCATCGTTGACCTGAATGATGTTGGCTACGAAGATGAACCATTCGTGCTCGCAAAGTCCGTTAAACAAATATTCTATATCAAGGACCCATCACTCGTGAGGCCACGTCATGTTGTACTTAAAAATTTTAGACTTACAATCTTTTGAGTTAGGAATTTTAAACTAGGTATATTTTGAGTTAGGATATATATGCAAATGTTTAGGATTTAAAGATAGGAATTTTTGGATTTACGAATTTTGACTTAGGCTTGTAGGTTTTTATATGTTGTGATGAATGGCTTGTAGGTTTTTATTTGTTGTTATGAATGTGAAAGTGAATGTGAAAGTGAAAGTGAAAGTGAAAGGTTGTGAATTGTGATTGTGAATGTGAATGTGAATGTGGAATGTGGAATGTGGAATGTGCATTGTAATTGTGAATTGTGAATTGTGAATTGAATTGTGGATTGTGGATTGTGATTGTGATTGTGATTGTGGAATGTGGAATGTGATGTATGGATGTGGGCTGCAATTATTATTATTTTTTGACCCAACAAATAGGTGCCGGTTTCGACCTCAAAAACCAGCACCTATTTAACAACCACGTGGCAATTTGGCTTAAACCGGCACCTATTAGGACCATATAGGTGCCGGTTTAAAACCGGCACCTATTTGACAGCCACATGGCATTTTGCTTGAGAACCGGCACCTATTAGGACCATATAGGTGCCGGTTTTGAGTTTAAAACTGGCACCTATTTGACAGCCACATGGCATTTTGCTTGAGAACCGGCACCTATTTGGACCATATAGGTGCCGGTTTTGAGTTTAAAACTGGCACCTATTTGACAGCCACGTGGCATTTTGCTTTAGAACCGGCACCTATTAGGACCATATAGGTGCCGGTTTTGAGTTTAAAACCGGCACCTATTTCCTAGAACCAGCACCGATGACAAGTATCATCAGTGCCGCCTCCTTTGTGCCGGTAGGGAAAACCGGCACCTATTAGGGTTTCCGAACCGGCACCTTTTACCCTTTCTATAGTAGTGTCAGGGTAATACATCAAATGCAAATCTAGTTTGTCTATAAGTAAGACATGTTTAGTTCACACCAAACTTTCTCAAACTCCCAACTTTCCATCACATCACATCACATCCAAAACTTTCCTACTCACATAAACTCTCAACTTTTTTTCCAAACTATCAACTTTCTCCAAACTTCTCCCCAATTTCAGGAACCTATGATTTATATATATAATATACATAAATGCAGAGACTTTCTAACTTCTCGGCAAAAGTTTGACATGTCACGCTCTCTAAAACATGGCATTCCGAACAATGTCAGTTGAAAAGTGAAATTAAGCTTCTAAAATTGGGAATGCTGATGGGCGATCGATCGCTATGGGGATGGGGTAGCAATCGATCCCCTCCCCCCTCCTTCCCTCCACCCCTCCACATGGTTTCCTTTTTTGGCACCGCATTACTTTCCTATTTTAGTAAATTTATACACCTAAAGTTTATACACCTCAAGTTTACACATCTAAAGTTTAGAGACCAAAAGTTTATAAGTCAAAAGTTTATATATCTGATTCAAATTTAAATTTGAATTCAAATATTTTTTTATATATAGTATTTCTATACATCTAAAGTTTATACACCTAAAGTTTATACACCTAAAGTTTATAGAGCTAAAGTTTATAAGTCAAAAGTTTACATACCTATTTCAAATTTGAATTTGAATTATATCTTACTCAAATTTAAATTTGAATTCAAATATTTTCTATATACAATATTTCTATACATCTAAAGTTTATACACCTAAAGTTATAGACCCAAAGTTTATAAGTCAAAAGTTTACATACCCGATTCAAATTTGAATTTGAATTCAAATTTTTTATATATAGTATTTCTATACATAAATTTTTCTAACTTTTTATTTTTTTAAAAAAATATTGTGTGGTGTACTGTAATAGGAAGAGAAGAAGGGGAGGAGGAAAGAGGGAGAAGAGGGAGGAGTATAGGGGGAGGGGGGAGGGGGGAGGGGGGCGAACTGATCGCCCAGCGCGATCGCTGGTGATCGATCGCCCATTAGAAGGGCCCTCTAGAATGCCACAAGTTGGCATCATTGGTTTATGTCCTAGTGTATCTGGCGTATACCAGCCATACAAATTTTAAGAGTTGCATTTATTTATTTTATCTTATAACTACATATCCCACGTAATCGTATCGACCAACACAACACGTCGATTCATCATCTCATCTACACTAATTTTAATGTACCGAAAGAAAACTGACTCATTTCTGTCACATGTTTCTCATGTTTAGAAAAAGACATTTGTTTGGCTGCTTGCTAAAAGCGACCAAGGCCGAACAATGACACGATTGGAGTACGTCGGAAATAATTAACAATCAGTGGTACTAGTAAGCCCGTGATCTCCAACCTCTCGGTCGCCAGCTTACTATAATTGGGCACAAGAGCGACAGTTGAGGAACCAAAGAGGACAAGAGAGGTAAAGAGAAATATAAGGTGTAGAAAAAGTGGAAGAAACCCTCCTGATGCTGGGAGGTGAGCAGTGACGGATCCACGCTCAGACCCAGTTTTTTTCTTCAACCCTAAACTTCAACTTTCTCGGTTTCTTATAGCACGATTTTTAAACTGTTACATGATGTATTTTTTTTAAAAAAAAAAAGTCTATATAGAAGTTGTTTAAAAAATTCAAACAAATCTGTTTTAAAAAATTATAATTATTAATACTTAATTAATCATGTGCTAATAAGCTTTCTCGTTTTATGTACACTAAAAAAATCTACCTGCACAAGTGTAGATGGAACGCAGCCTGGCATGTTTCGATTGGTGGCATTTTAAACCAATCATTGTTTCACAAAATTAATAAACATGCATATACATTTAGTTTATTACCAAATATTTAGCTTAGAAAATTTTGGCAATATCACATTTAACACATCCTATCAAAACTTGGTAACGCTGTTGACTTACCAAAAATTTGGCATTGCTAAATTTCTAAAATGTTTATTTTTGCATTAAACTAAACTGTCCTGCTACAATGGAGTCAAACCCATGAAGCCCTGAAGAATTGACTCTAGTAGAACAATAGTCTTCAACTCTTCATAGTTTATATAAAAGCAAATTTTGCTACAGGACATCGTGACTTTGCGGTTTTAGCTGTAGGACACCGCATGAAGCAACTTTTGGGGAAAAACACTGGCAAAAATTAAATATTTGCTGGTGGACATCGCATCTATTAAAATAATAATTTTTGGTTGAAGAGGTGAGAGAAATTGTGTAAAAGTTCTAAAATACTCTTAGGCCCACATGTCGGCTCTCTCATCTCTTTCCTCTCTATCCCCGCACCCCTTCCTCCCGTGCCGTGGCCCTGCCGGCGGCGCTGCGCTGTCCTTGCCACCCTGGCACCCCGTCCGCATCCATGCTGATGATGCCATCTCCATCCTCGCTCTACCACCGGCAGCTGCCAAGATGACGCGTCGCTATTCCTAGCGGACCAAGCCGAGCACGCCGTCCTTGCCAGCCACAGATGCCACCTCGTCCTCTCACAACTGCTCCCTTGCCACTCGCTGCACACCAAGGACATACCGATGACCAAGCCCTACCAGCGTCGGCCTACCCACGCCGTCCTTGCGCGAATCGCGTCGGCCGTCGTCCTTGCCGCCCTCACCACGCCGCCCGAAGACCATTCCGTCACCCATGCAGTCCGCCACCACGACCGACGCCCATGTCGTCCTTGTGTCAGCCACCACCTTGCCGCACCATCCTCGTCGTGAATCGCGCCGCCCAGGCCGCTCCAATCACTTCGCCACAAGCAAGATCCACAGGATGGGCATCCTCCAATGGCGGCGAGCGCCGTCACACCCGAGCAGGCACGCCTCGCCGAGGAGGCTGGCATGGCACCTGCGCGGTCATGGCGCTGGAGCGCATCCTCGCCGACATCCGCGCGCAGGCAGCGTCGCCCACATGTCCGACCCGGTGCTCATCCACGACATCAAGTGCGTCGTCACCATCCCAGTCATGGCCAAGGCCCGCATTGAGCACTTTGTGGAGGCCCGGATCTTGGAGGCCATCGGCGAGGCACAACTTCCGCGTCCTCTTCGTCTGCGGCTGCCGCGACCTTGGCGAGGCGCTCCGCCGCATCCGCGAAGGCGCCGCCATAATCCGCACCAAGGGCGAGGCGCCGCTGACATGGCCAACGCAGGGGAGGAAGGGGTGCGGGGATGGAGAGAAAAGAGATGAGAGAGCGGGTCCAAGTGTATTTTAGAACTTTTACCTGATTTCTTTCTCCTCTTCGACCGAAAATTATTATTTTAATGGGTGCGGTGTTCACCAGCAAATATCCAATTTTTGCCAGTGTCTTTCCCCAAAAGTCACTTCGCACGGTGTCCTACAACTAAAACCGCAAAGTCACGATGTCATGTAGCAAAATTTACCTTATATAAAACGAAAATTGAAAAAAGCTCAGTGAAGCATTCAATGGTTTAACATCCGTTTGAAAGATATTATGTGAAAAAAACACAGCGGTTGTAGTTACAGCTGTTGCTCCATCTGCTGGCTGTTTCTCTGCTTTTGCCTGGACAATGCCAGCAACAGCCACCGCCCCACAGTCCCGGCAACAGCCGCCACAGCGGCCAACAACCTGCTCCAGCCCAGCGTTGAGAGCTCGAGGTTGCAACGAGCCGGCCACCCTCCCACAACTAGGAAAATCGTTGTCCCAGTCGACAAAAAATTATTTTTCCAGGGAGGGAAAGACACGCCAATATGCAAAGACTTGTAAAAATCAATTTCGTAGAAGGCATTTTCATTTTTGGAGGCGCTATAGCGAGACGCCAGCGAAAATATTTTGGGCGAACAAAAAAAAATCACCACCAACCCCACCCGTGCTCGCCCTACCGTCTCCGGCTGCGCCGCCGCCGTAGCCCTCGTACCTCTGTCCGGATCTAGGGTTAGGGTTTTGGCAGGGAGAGGGAGAGAGGGGAGGTGAGGAGAGCCGTTGGGAGCCGCTGCCGCCGCAACCGCCCTCCATCCCCCTCCCCCTACTGGTCGGATCTAGGAGGGAGAGATCCAAAAGGGAGGGAGGGAAGCTGCGCCATGGGTGGGTGCCGCCGCTGCCACCGCCATCGCCGGAGCCCCCGCCAACACCTCCCTCCCTCCTCCCCCCTCTAGCCGAGCTGCCACCGCCGCCCCTCCCCTCAGTTGGATCTGGGAGGCAAGAGGGAGAGGGAGAGGAGGGGAGCCGCACCGCTGCCACCCTCCTCTCAGGCAACCACCGCCACCCCTCCTCTCTGCCAGATCTGGGAGGGGAGGGGAGCCAAATATGGGAGAGGAAGGGGGGGCCATGTTGCCTCCTCCGCACGCCATCGGCAACCTCCCTCTATGGCCACGCCACCGCCGCTGCCCCTCCTCTCTGCCGGAGAGAGAGAGGGAGGGTGAGGGGTCGCGCGCGCCGCCTCCTCCGTCGCCAGTGCCGGTTGTGGCTGGCCCTTTCGTCATCGCTGGTTGTGGTCGGCGCTGCTGTTGTGTCCAGTAGAGGGATAGGGAGGGAGGAAAAGTGAGAGAGAGAGGGAGAGAAGTGGAGGAAAAGTGAGGGAGAGGGCGCACAGCTAGGAAATTAATTTTAATAGTGTTTTCATATTATTTCCATGCGAAAATAAATGTATTATTATTGACGGGGCTAAATCTAGAGGTTCTTTACGCTTTAGTTAGGCCCAGTTTAGCACAGTTTTCATCTAGATTTGTCGTCTCGTGGAGATAGGAAATGGTAAATAGTTGTTAAACCAGCACCTATTAGGTGTTTTGTAGTAGTGTAATGGGGCATATTCGTGGGTGTGTAAGTATAACGTTATATGATTAATGATGAACACGCATGTGTCATGTAATTGTTACAAAAGTGGCGGTCCTATGAGCGTATGTTATGGGCTTATTCGTGGGTACGCAAGTCTAGTATATTATATGTTGACTGTACAATAGTGATGTAAAAAAATGTGGTGGTGGATTAAATTCGAATATTAAAAACAGATCCAAATTAACTTCACCACTTATATCTTTATATCCGGAAAAAATGGATAATTAATCTTTTTTGTGATCAGTAATAAATAGGAAAAAAAATCCACTAGAATATATACGTTCCCGAACGTTCCATTCAGCACACGTCGACATCGACTTTGACAGCTATTTCACAGGGAGAATCACTTGGACAGCTACTGGTAGTGAATGATGTACATAATTTGGAAAAATACAACAAGCTCTCACCCTCGCGAGGCCGCATACATACATAAAACGGCCGGCATTGTGTGTCACCCCACCAACCAAAAATAATAACAAATGGCTTCTTTTCTTCCATGGCTGCCATGGCTTCTCGCCGCTCTCCTCTCCGTCTACCTCCTCGACCTCCTTGCACACTCCCGCCGCCTCCTCCCGCCGGGACCCCGCCCGCTGCCGCTCATCGGCAGCCTGCACCTGCTCGGCGACCAGCCACACCGCTCGCTCGCCGGCCTCGCCAAGATGTACGGCCCGCTCATGTCGCTCCGCCTCGGCGCGGTCACCACGGTGGTCGTCTCCTCGCCGGACGTTGCCCGCGAGTTCCTGCAGAGGCACAACGCCGCCTTCGCCAGCCGGTCCGTCCCCGACGCCACCGGTGACCACGCCACGAACTCCGTCGCCTGGCTGCCCAACTCGCCTCGGTGGCGCGCGCTCCGCAGGATCATGGCGGCGGAGCTGTTCGCGCCGCACCGGCTCGACGCGCTCCGGCGTCTCCGGCGCGAGAAGGTGCAGGAGCTCGTGGACCACGTCGCCCGGCTGGCGGAGCGCGAGGGCGGCGCGGCGGCGGTGGACGTCGGCCGTGTCGCGTTCGCGACGAGCCTGAACCTCCTCTCGAGCACGATCTTCTCCCGCAACCTCACCAGCCTGGACGACCACGGCGAGTCCATGGAGTTCAAGGAGGTGGTCGTGGAGATCATGGAGGCCGGCGGTTGCCCGAACGTGTCGGACTTCTTCCCGGCGATCGCCGCGGCGGACCTGCAGGGATGGCGGCGGCGGATGGCCGGCCTGTTTGCGCGGCTCCACCGGGTGTTCGACGCGGTGGTGGAGGAGAGGCTGAGCGAGCGCGACGCCGGCGAGGCCAGGAAGGGTGACTTCCTCGACGTGCTTCTCGACGTCGCGGCGCGGGACAATGACTCGGCCGGGCTGGACCGTGACACGCTCCGGTCACTGTTCACGGTAACACGTACACGTGCATGCTTGTTACTGTCGGTTCCATTAATTCCTTGATTTTTCTTCAATGGCGCGCGAAACTGTTTTAAAACCTCAAGGATGTTATATCTCATTTGTCTCAAATACATTGAAATACTTGTAAAAAAAGGAAAAATATTAACAACATTGATACAATATATATGCACACAAGTAAAAAAACCATCATAGGTGCCGGAGCCGGTTCCCAACCGGCACCAATACTAGCAACCGGTACCTATACCAAAACAATTTTGCTATGAAAAAAGTACGAATTTCCCCCCTAAACTCGAAAAGCCAAACATTACTCACCCTCAACTTTCAATACCGAACGAATTACCCCCCTCGATCCAATCCAGGGCCGTTTTGTCCTAAAAGGCAACCCAGTCAGCATTTTTTTTTAAAAAAACATGGTGGGGCCCACCTATTATTCTCTCCCACCTCCTCCTTTTCCTCTTCCCCTCATTCCGTCTCTCTCTCTCTCGCGCGTCATCAGGCGCGGCCGTGCGAGCGGTTGGTGCGCACGGCGGCCCGCGAGGCGGGCGGTGGGCGGCGGCACGTCGTCAGGCGTGCCAAGCAAGCGGGGGCGGGCGCAACGAGGAAGGGGACTGGTAGGTGGGCTCCAGACAGCGGCGGGTGGCGTGGAGGAGGTGCCATGGAGGGGGCGTGGCTGGGAGGGGAGGCGAGCGTGGCGGGCGGTCGGGAGGGTGCTGCGGCGGGCACGGCTGACGCGAGAACGACCTCTCGTCCTTCGCGTCCTCTTCCTGATGCCGCATCTGCTGTCCGCCATGGAGGCAGATGGCTATTCGTAATTCTTACAATCATAGATAGAATCCGCAAGCGCACGGATATACCGATGTAGCACTTCCCCTACGGAGTATTCCAATGGGTATCGAATCCAAGAGAACGTGTGTGGTCAGATCTTCCTCCGGTTCATCCAAGGACACCAAGCATATGATAGGCCAGGACAGAGAGGATTTACTACTGAGAAATAGTGCCTAGGGAAAGCTTAACTTTAATCCTAATGCAATACTACAAGCACTGGCAATCCGTTGTTCCCATATGTCGCTCTACTACATACCCGGACAGGGAGGACTTAAGTGCTCTTGAGGGCTGTCACCACCTCTATACCTACCTCAAACGTACTGCGGGATACGCAGCAACCACTGGAAATTAATTACCTAGACACTGCGTCTACGCAATTAATAACTACTCTAGTGCAAATCAAAAACTAAAGCAATCACTATAAATAAATGGACTATAGTGAACAATGATCCCGTATGCTATTTACGAACTAACCAAGAGATAATTCTCACGAGATAAATCTAAATTACTGAGGAAGAATATTATATTGAATTCAGAGTAAAAACAGAATAAAAGAAATGAGAGAAGATTACCGACAACTCCGAAATTCTTCTGACTTCTTCTACTCTACTCTCTTCCTATTCTAGTATACAATATAGTCCAATAGAGCCTCATATAATTCAGCTCAAGCTTGGAAGTGTGTGAGTGAAGTGAGGGAGTGATGTCTTTACATAGAGGTAGGTGTGACGGTTGGTGAAGGGGAAATTTCCAAAGTGCCCTCCAACCGTCATCAAGGATGCATCTGGGACATCCACGCCAAACCCCACATCAAACGGTGAGGATGGTGGTTCGACCAAACCTGGGCTGGGCCCATCTGGCCTTGGCTTTGGCCCATGTCCTCCCCTGGTCCTCCTCTATCCATTCTTTGGTATTTTTGGCTGATTCTCTAGTGTTTTGATGAAGTTCACAACCCATCCTTGTATGGATACATAATTCTCCTCACTTTACTCTAAATTTTCTCCTAACCTCAGGGTTTATCACCTGCATACAAATATACACTAACACTTGTGGAATATGTGAGATTAATTAAGCACCTATCACTATGTTGGATGTTTTATTATCTGAACTTTATGCAGATGTTGGCAGTATAGAATCGGCATTTAACAGTCGCCAACAAAAGCCCCCACACTTAGCTCTTTGCTCGTCCTTGAGTAAAGGTTATTGTAGAATGAATTTCTTCAAGATATAAATCAGGAATATAAATCATTCACAACCATACTTGCACCTGTGAACCTTATTAGTGGCTATCTTACCATCTTAAGCAATTGATAGATGGAATGACCTCGATTCCAGTCCTTCTTGCTTCTCTGTCAGACTTATGGGATTTTAATGAATTTTCGCAAACCAGCTCTTTTCCTCATATTGACTTTCTCTCTTATCTCTCAAGAATATATATTTTCTTTTTGGATCTTCACCAAGGCAAAATGTGCCAGAATTTACCCCTATTCTAAGGCTGATATGTGGAGTTCGGTAGGGACAAATTGTGACATACCTGCATCATATATATTGCAAAGCCAAAAATACGGACTCAAGAAGATCATCAGTCATACTCCTAGATCAAGAGTCTTTATTTGTGGTAGAACATAGAAAAGTAAAATATTTTGTGGAATGGTGGAATAAAGAAATGATTCTCCCTTTTCCCTATACTTTCTCCTCCATTTTTGTTTTCTTGGCATGAATATGGAAGGGGCATGGCTATATTTTCTTTTCATCATGCTCAATGTTTTGAGAGCAAGCTTTATTTCCTTTTCTCTTTTTTTTCTTATAGTCATGCCTTTCCCTCCTTTTCTCATTTTCTTTTACCAAGAACTTTTCGAGGAGAAGAAAGCATAGTTTAATGTAGGAGTTTATTTGGATGGAAATTTTTGTGGGAAGCCAACTTCCAGTGTAGAAGCTTAGTTGTATTATATATGTGGAAACAAAAATGGAAATGACCCCTTGATCATGAGAGTATGAAAGATATCTAACACGAGTCACATAAATTTGACAAAACTCAATATAATGTCAAGCAATCATATGCATAATAAGGTTTATCAATGATATACTTGCATATGGCCTTGGTAGGTATAAAATGAAGTCAATTGGAGGAATGAGCTTCTTAAAACAATTTTATTTTTGAAAACAAACTCCCAAGAGTCATAACAGAAGTTGCAAGAATTCCTTTCATCTTTAATCATCTCAAATAAAGCAATTACTTAGATGCATAAGGTTCCCTAAACATGGATGGTTGTTCACAAGCACAAGTTCAGCTGAGAATAATGAATATACAATATCAACCATATGAAGAATTTCATTAGTTGGAAATTTTATATTTTCAATTCTGCTTGAACCAATTGTTTTTCTGAATTTTCAACTCTAGTACTATACCATGGTGGAGATATACAAATAATAGACGTGCTCACCTACTTACCTGTAAAAATTGAGAGGTATTGGGGCCAACACTGGTTCGGCCGAACCTGCTGGTTCGGCCGAACCACTCTGGTGTCCAATCCCTTTGCAATTTTCTGCAGAGTTCCGTGCCTTCCAGGTATTCAGAGATTCAACAATTTTCAGAGTATATGCACGTCAGAAGCTAGGAAATCTCCCACACACTTATTCAAAACCTGAACTTTATTAGAAAAAAACAAAAACAAACTTAGCATGCATTGGGGTTAACACCAATGAGCCAAATTATTTATAGCAAGTTCTTACATAATTGGAAAAGATAAAAACCAAGCACCTACTACTACTTTATTCATGGGAGAGGAGACATCTAATTAGCATAATACTTATTCTCCTTCCCCATTTCTACAAATGCACGCTTGATTTTAGCGCAAAAACCGTGACTAAGGGTATCAACATTATTCCTAAGTTCAAAAAGTTCTACCCCTAGCTCCGCATTTCGGTCCCTAAGCTCAATGTTCTCCTTGCGGAGCTTCTTTACTTGCGATGCTAGCTTATGAACCGAGGGCTCCGGCGACTTTACTTCATCTCCTTGAAATTGGCCGGCCGCCCTTACAATTGGAGGGTGCGTCAAGTGACGCTTCACCTTCATAGGTGGAGGGCTATGGGATTCCGCTGTCCCCTCCTTCTCCAACGCCGTCAAAGGCCGGAGCAAGCCCTTACCATACCCACCGCTGGGAGTTCGCACTCCCTGAATGAGAAACCAAATTCAGGGTTTATCACCTGCATACAAATATACACCAACACTTCTGGAATATGTGAGATTAAGCACCTATCACTATGTTGGATGTTTTATTATCTGAACTTTATGCAGATGTTAGCGGTATACAATCGGCTTTAACAGTCGCCAACAATGGCGCGGTGGGGAAGTGTCACGCCCAGAAATTCCCGAATAGAATTCCATGCAGAATGTGCATTAAAACCCTCGTCCAGGACCGCCCGGGGTACACAAACGACAAAGTTGACATACAGATCCACGTCTTAAAAACATTATAAAAGTCTTACATAAATGCAGCGGAAAATTAAAAGATAAATGGAGCTAAGCCTTGACTTGGATTGCAGTGGGAACACCACTCCACAGGCATCCTCGACGGCACGGACGAAGCCTACTCCTCGGAAAAGTCACCATCCGACGCATACTCAAACTCTGGGGTTTTGGGGAAAATAGAGCAAGACTGAGTACAACCACCGTACTCAGCAAGTCATACCGGAACAGGGGGTATGATGCAGGATATAACCAAAGGATAGCTAAAGCGGTTCATTTGCATAAATTGAGCATTTATAAACAGTAGTTGAAAGCAGTAAACAGTTGTAATAATTAATCAATATTAACCATCCACTGTCCAACGCTACACCACGTTGCAACAGGCCCAACCACCCACCTGGACTAATTAATTTCATTAGACTAGACTAGGGTGACCTATGGAAAGGCTCACCGGCGCGCGGCGGATGGCGGCCTTCGATGGCGGAATTCGACGGAGGAGGGGTGGACGAGGTGGACCTTGGCCGCGCAAACCTGACGGCGGCGACGGTGTGGTGCGGCGGTGGCCCTAGCGGCGGCTAGAGGCGACCGGAGTAGTGGAAGAGACCGCAGCGGATGGGTGCACGGTGCGGGAGCGGTGGAGAGCTCGGGAGAGGTCGGCGGAACAAGGAAAAATGAGGAGGAGGATGTGGGGATGGATTATATAGGGGCGGAGAGGTCGGGAACGGCCGGGAGTGGTTCGATTTCGTCGGAGTTAGTGGGGAAGTTGGAGGAGGAGAGAGAGAGAGGCGGGATTCAAATTTGAATCCCGGCCATCTCGTGCCGTGGGCGCGAGCGGAAGTGGGGGCATGGGTGCGGGGAAGGCGGGGCGTGCTGGAGCGGGACGCGGGGAAGGCGGGGAAGGTGGGCGGCGTGCGCGCGGCGGCGGTTGCCG